ACTGATATGGTTTTAATGGTTAATGCTGATATTTAGAGAGCAGGGCGGCTGATGGTTGATATTTAATGCTATTTGCTGTATTTATAATGCATGTTGAGTTAAAATGTTGTTTCAAACAGATTTTGTATTGATTAGTGAAAGAGAAAAATACACTGTGAGGTTCAGAATGGGACTGGTATTTGAGGGGGATTCAGACAGTGATGTCATATGTGGCATTATTAAGAGGTTAGGGGAGGGTTAGCTTCACACAGTGCTGTCAGTATCACACTGATCTGAGGTCAGCAGCACATTATTCAGTACCCACACACTGGTGTCCAACACATTATTATTATTATTATTATTATTAATGTTGTTATTATTATTAGTTGTAGTAATAGTAGTGGTACTAATGCTCTAGTGTTTATTTATGTTCATAAAATAACAGAAAAAAGTCAATGTTGAACAATTTATATGTATTTTGTTACTGTATTTATTATTGTTTTTATTAGTCATTTTCACAAAAGAACAATAAAGATGATTACATAAAACGGCTCTGTGTGTCTTTCAGCAGTACTCAGGCCACCCTTACCATAATAATCCTACAGTAGGCCCAACCACACCCTGACAGCGGCTGACGGTACCGCAGCAGTTCATGGCAGTGAGTAAAAAAACACCGTGAGCCAACAGAACTTAAATCAAACATCAAATGGCAAAATAAACGAACTAATAAATCATTATCATATGGTAAATATTATATAGAACATAATACTGTAAGTTTTGGCTAGAATACAAATTAGTAACAGTCCATGAGACCTACCTCTGGCTGCGTCCATTACAGCAAAAATCAGAACCAGTTCGATCAGGGGTTTATTCTGGGTCCCAGTGAGGAGAGAGCGGGTAGAACAGCACGCAGCAGCCCAGAGACAGAGCACCAAACCCGGGGTCTTTTCTCAGGGCGTTGTCCCTTTTCTCTAAGACTCTTCGTCCACTTCCTTATTACAGACTTATTATCTGATATTCAGCCAACCAATCAGACGGAGGTCCGAGTCAGTTTCGCTTTAAGTGGGATCCTGATCATAGACATATATATGTCTATGATCCTGATTGTTACTGTAACTGGTTTGTCTGAGCCAATCACATCAGACTGTCCTGCAGAGACAAACATCATATTTACACTTCCTGTTACAGAATCACTGATCCTAATTGAGAAATTATTTTCAGAAACATTAAATTAGTACAGTAGTACTGGTGGACTGATATGGATTTTTCAATGGTCAATGCTGATATTTAGAGAGTAAAAAGAAATAAAACTCATGTATAATTCCATTATTCCATGCACATTACAATCTAATATACATGCTTATCTGAGCCAGTAAAATACAGTTTTAAATATATTTTTCCTTAATTAATAACAGAAAAATACTGAAGGTTTCAGAATGTGACTGGTATTTAAAACAGAGCGGGGTACAGTCATTTAACTGCATTGTTCTATACATTATAACATATATATAACACTAGCCAGTAAAGGTTTGAGATTTGATTTTCTTTCATTTAGGAGACACATGTTAACATTTATAAAGATGATGAATGAAACGTTTACAGCAGTATAAATTATAGTTATAGAGTTATAGAACAAATGCATCAAACAAAGTTTTTCACCAATGTAATAGAAATGTTTAAGAACCTACATGACATCAAGGTTACGCTGACCTGATTTTATTGGTTCCACATACAGCTACGTTGCTAAGGTAGCACACTGTTTTGATTGACATGTCACACATCACAGTTAAAAGATTACCTGCATTAACTCTGCTACCCTCTTCCCAACTCCAGGTGATGGACAGCAGCATGTATTGCAGTGATAGCTGAAGCTTTCTCTCACAGGCCAGGTTTACCTTTGCCTTGGCTTTTGGACAAATAGGAAAAACTCCTAAAATCCATCTGTAAATCTATTGCTGATCACACCCTTGGTGCTGAACTTCTTGACACTGTGTTGTTACTCAAACAAATTGCAATCTGCAAATGTGCCGCTGTCTCCGTGTTATCTCTGCTGTGTTATATCTGACGCCAGCGAGGCGCCGGAGGGGTAGCAGATGGAGAGAACTGGGCTGTGTGTTTCTGCTGACTGCCACCATCGCCCTGCCACTGTTGCCACTACTTGAGACGCCTCGGTCAGAGCAAAACAAACATCACAACACTCATAAAAAATGTTCTGAGACTATAAAATGCTCAAAACCACAACAGGCTATTATATGCATAAACCTTGGTTTCACCCTGTTTCCAACTACGCTTTATGCCCAAGTAAACAGCAGGATGTTGAGACTTCAACGAAATATCAAGGACATGATAAAACACATCGACATGCTTGTTTGTTGGCACACCTGGGCACCCTGGTGGTCA